TTCTAAACGCAAACGTTCCATAAGGGCATGTGAAGGTGTCTTCTCTTGGTCTTCTGGAGGAATTACTATCTGATTGTATCCTGAATATCCTTCCAAAAAGCAATAATGAGAATGTTCTGCTAACCTTTCCAACATTTGATCAATGAATGGCAATGGAAAATGGTCCTTTCTGGTTGAATTATTTAGCTTTCTATAATCTATGCAGACTCTCCACCCTGTCACTAACCGTGTTGGTATCATCTCATTGTTCTCGTTCTTCTCCACTGTGATTCCACCCTTTTAGGTAGAACATGTACATGACTCACCCATGAACTATCAGATATGTGATAAATTATTCCTACATCCAGTAATTTCAGCACTTCTTTTCGCACGACTTCTTTCAATGTTGGATTCAATCGGCGTTGTCCTTCCACCGATGCCCTTGACCCGTCTTGTGCATGCAAAGAGTTGGACTGATCCCTCTTATGTCAGCTATTGTCCATCCAATTGCCATTTTGTGCTGCCTAAGTACCTCCAACAATTGATTCTCCTCTTCCCTTGTCATATCATATGCAATGATTACTGGCAGTGTTGAAGATTCTTCGAAATATGCATAACGAAGATGGAAAGCTAAGGGCTTTAGTTCAAGAGTGGGTGCCTTTTCCACTGAGGGTAACGGGGGAGAAGGATTGTCTCCTAAAGATTTGTATTGCCAATGCCTTCTTCCTATGGGTTGCTCGGCTAAGTTGACAACACATTTAACTTTTCCTGCATTTGGTGCTTCTAATTGCGCAATTTCTGCCTCACAAAGATTTGTGTGATGCTCTATATCAAATGTATCCACCACAAGCTCTTCAAGAACATCAACTTGGCAGCAAGTGTCGGAAGTCAATGGGTGTTTCATTACCTTGAACACGTTGAATATGACTTGCTCATTGTCCACTCGAAGAATCATTTTTCCATCATAAACATCAATCAATGCTCTCCCAGTAGCCAAGAACGGTCTTCCCAAGATCAGAGGAATATTTGAGTCCTCTTCCATGTCCAAAATAATGAAATCAGCTGGAAAAACAAATTTGTCAACTTTGACCAGCACATCTTCAATAATTCCCTTTGGTCGTTTGATCGATCTGTCGGCCAATTGCAAAGAGATTGTTGTAGGTTTTGCTTCTCCTAATCCAAGAGACCTATAAACAGAGAGAGGCATCAAATTAACACTGGCACCTAAATCACATAAAGAATGTTTAAAGAAATTAGAACCAATTGTGCAAGGTATAGTGAAACTCCCTGGGTCTTTTAATTTAGGGTGTAGCTTTCTCAATAGTATTGCACTGTACTCCTCGTTCAAGCATACGATCTCATGTTCTTCCAGCTTCCTTTTGTTAGATCGGATCTCTTTCAAGAATTTTGCATAGCTGGACATTTGGGCAATTGTGTCTGCAAAAGGAATATTGATGTGCAGTTTCTTGAAAATCTCCACAAACTTGGCAAATTGATTATCCAACTTCTTTCTTTGTAACCTTTGAGGGAAGGGAATTGGTGGCACATAAACCTTCACGGGGCTGGGTGCTCTCACTGCAGGTGTTTCTTTCCTTTCGTTCTTCTTGTCAGTTGGTTGTTCAAACTCGACTTCTGTCCCAGCCTCTTCACTCATTATTTCCTTTTCTTTTCGCTCTGGTCTCTTCACATGTATTTCTGGAAGTTGTACCCCACTCCTAGTAGTAATAGCTTGCACTTGCTCTTTTGGATTGACCATTGTGTTGCTTGGCAATGTCCTTTGTCGGCGTTCTGCAAACTGTTGAGCAATCTGACCAATTTGTGTTTCCAACTTCTTGACTGATACTTGCTGATTCTGAAAGTTAGTGTCAATCTGCTGAAACACCTTGTCAGTCTTCTGCATGTACTGGTTGAACATCTCTCCCAAACTTGGTTTTTTCTCCTGTTGGGTATTATTTGAACTGTTCCCTTATTGATTATCCGACCATCTGAAGTTTGGGTGTTGTCTCCATCCTGGGTTGTATGTTTGAGCAAATGGATTAAAATTTCGAGACCCATTCTGAATGAAATTGACCTGTTCATCGGGATAGCCTATAGATGTGCAGTTTTCTACCAGATGATTAGACCCACAGTTCTCACATGATGGACTAGCTGTCACTGCATGTGCTCCTTTCATTTTTGATTTTACCAATAACTCCACCTGTATTGTCAATGCTATTATTTGGACGTTAGTAGCTGCTATGCTGTCTAACTCATACATTCCTCCAGTCTTCGATGGCGTCACTCTTTCTGATGAGAATATTGAATGTGTAGTGGCAATCAACTCAAACAATTCCATGGTTTGCTGCACAAATTTTCCTATAATTGATCCCCCAGCTGAGGCATCGACTTGGGATTTTGACAGTGGTGTAAGTCCAGTGTAAAAGTACTGCACTTGATTACCTATAGTAATTCCATGGTTTGGGCATTTTCTCATCATCTCATTAAACCTATTTCATAATTCGTGATAGCTTTCTCCCTCTTTCTGTTGAAAAGTTTGAATTTCCAATTTGATTTTAACTACCCTTGCCGTTGGGAAAAATTTATTACAGAACTTCCTGATTAGTTCTTCCCATGTAGTAATGCTAACGTGAGGCTCAGCATCTAATCACTCTAATGCAGCGTCTCTCAATGTAAATGGGAATAGTCGTAGTTTAATAGCATCTTCATTGACCCTCGGAGTATGAAAGTTCTGACAATTTCTGAGAAATCTAGAGATATGCGTATTTGGATTCTCTTGAGGTAGTCCGTAGAATTGCAGGGTGTTGCTTGTCAAGTTAATCCAATTTGGCCTGATCTGAAAGTTATTCACCCTAAAATCTGGATACACGATACTAGAGCGCATGGGTGCTGCTATAGGTGTCAGGAACATTGATACTGACAAATCACCTTCATTTATTTCCCCTTGTTCATGCTGTTGTTTCAGTGGTGCCGCTCTTGCGGCCATTTGTCCAATCGGCTGAATAGGGATATGGATTTGTTGATTGTCAGCCATTTGACATTGCTGTTTTTGTTTGTGTTCTTTGCGTCTTCGTCTGGAAGTACGTTCTATCTCCGAATCAAACGGTTCAAGATCGTCGCCTTGGGCACGGAGCATACAACGAACACAATTTTCTGTAAATAAAAGAAAAATAAATAAATCAAATAAAAGTTAAAATAAAAATTAATTGAGACTAGAAGAAATAGTCCCCGACAACAACGCCAAAACTTGTTGTAAAATTTTGTTTCGCAAGTGTACGACCCGTAACAAGTAATAGTAGAACTAAGAGTCCGGTTTGTTGATCCCACAAGGATTATTTTCTAGCACTTAATTCAATCTTTCTTTAACTACTATTTGACTAACACAAATCAAAGGTTGTAAAATCTGGGTTTTAATCTAAATTCTAGAAAATAAATGAATATTCACACGATTGGTTAGAGAATCAAATAATGAATGGATATTAGGGTAGAATAATTTCACCAATTGATCACCTTTACATCTCAAATTAAAACTCAATTCTAATGTAGCGCTCGGTCGAATTCTCCTATTGTATTCAATTTACCCCTCTCGAGTTCTCATTGAGCCTATTCAACTACTTAAATTTCATATCTCTATGCAAATTCAATTTAGTTAAACGAGTTCTATATTTTAGGAATTCAATTATGACCGCAATAAATGGTATATGTATCTCTACTCGCTATACCAATGTATTGAATTTTAGTACATGGTCTAAATCCTAAACTCATATCTCTATTTGTAAAGAATTCACAAAAATCATCAGATTATTGATCAGATAATTTAATGCATTTAACTCATAGCAAAATCAACACATGTAAGAATTAAAAATTGAAAGTCTTAATAATAGAGTGTAAAAGATCCCAATTGATTACATTATTCCCCCTAACAATGAATTTAGCTACTCATAATACAAGAAGAAAAGTAAGAAATTGTCTTAGAATACATCACCGAGTTTGTAATAAAGATATAAAAGAAACAATAGAATTCTTGCACCAAATTTCATCTTTTTTTTTTTCACTTTCGTAGTGCCTAGGCGCTATGAATGCAGCGCCTAAGCGTCGTCTTTCTGCCTCAATTCTGTGTTTTTGGCCTCTTCGTCCACTTTAATACTTTTTTTTACATCGCTTCTCCTAATCTTTAAAACAATAACAAACACATTAAAAACGTTCTATATTCACAAAATCTAGCATTTAATGAAGCTATAATTGTGCAAAGATCATGAGTGAAGCAAACTCATCAACAAACTGTAACATAGAATGACTATTGCAGCCACCGATTATAAATAGTATTAATATTTTATTATTCTTCATAGGTGTCCACCTTTTACAATCAAAAAGCGATGTTATCTCCTTTACATATAAGACTTGTCTGGTGTAGTTTAAAAATTTAAAATAAACTTGACAATTAATTTTTACTATACATATATATAATTTTAATTTTTATCAATTTTTCAATCACACATTTAGTGGTTTTATTTCCTTTACATATAAGACTTTTCTGGTGTAGTTTAAAATTTTTAAATAAACTTGAATATTAATTTTTACTATGAGCCCTTCGGTAGTGATTATGAGAATCGATTTTTTGATCGGGGGCCATCTTTGAATAAAGAAGTAAAAAATGATGATTAAAATAATAAAATAACAGTCAAAAAATTAATTTTTTGGGATGAAAAAGCACCACCAAACGGGGACTATATATATAATTATGTATTTTTAATTGTTTTAATTTTTTAATCACTTATTTAATCAACTTTAATTAAAATTCATGAAAAATTAATTTTTAATTAAATATTAAAAAAGTTGCTATTAACTTTCCTCCATGACTCAGAAGTACGCGTCACTTAAACAGCGACTTCTAAGCCACGTGTCAATTTGCAGCATACGTGTCACAAATTCTTCCTCCAGACTAGCCGCTGAGCTACCACGTGTCATCTAATCCTTTCACCAGTAGATATATATATACACACACTTCATGCTGTAAGCATTTGTCGTTATCAGTTGAATTTGTTCAAAGCAGTGAAAATCACATAGTTTTACTTAGGCAGTTAAAAATGTCTTCCCAGCAAGAAAAAGCCGAGCTTGACGCCAGGGCAAAGCACGGTGAGACCGTGGTGCCGGGTGGCACCGGCGGAAAAAGCCTCGAGGCCCAAGAACACCTTGCTGAAGGTAACATCATTTTTTTACTCGACGAGAGCAATTGTTACACTATATATTCCACAGAATAATCAAATACAGTCCATTATATATTTAACTTCTCTTTTTCTTCAATATTGTTTAGGGAGGAGTAAGGGAGGGCAGACGAGGAAGGAGCAGCTGGGAACTGAAGGATATCAAGAAATGGGTCGCAAAGGCGGACTGAGCACTGGGGACAAGCCGGGAGAAGAACGTGCACGGGAGGAAGGAATCGAGATAGACGAGTCCAAGTTTAGAACTTAAAGATGAATCATCTGAGTCTGTACTTTACTGAGTAGAACGTACTAGGTTTTCGAGTTTGTTAATGTAGGTCTCGTCTGGCTATATATAAGTGTGACTGTCCTGCTGTATTTCGTTTGCAATTTTTTCTTTTCGTAAGGTTTGTTGTATATAGAGTTTTCAGTGATCCTTGTTTCGTTTGTGTTACTCACGTGGTACGATAATATTGTTCAAATGGTTCAAATAATTAATATATTAAATATAAGTGGGGTATTATTAAAATAATTAAATATATTGAAAAACAAAAAGTAAGTTATTCTTGCAATAATTGAATTAGAGTAAATTAATATTTAATATATTACAGATATCAGAGGGCCCAACATCTATTATATAGTGAAATTATGATGTATTGATCTTAATGCATTGGCAAAGTGAAGAGCTCACGGTAAATGACGACCATATAATTGCATTATGGTATCCGTGTCCTTACACAGGGGAAAGAATCATTCCTTGTCTTTGCTCTCTTTGAAATAATTCGCCACGAAAAAGCTGGGATTTTTACCCTATCCTTTCGTAAGACCGCGGAAGAGAAGCCATCCGCTCGTTCCCTATCGAGTGGATCAAATGAATATATATGACATTTGGTTAAATATTTTTCTGTGTTATATTGCAAGCCAAGCAGTAATCAATCATGCGTAGTGTGAAACATATCCATTTGAGGATGCAAGGCTTGACTTAATCTCGAAAAGAAAGTACTCGTCAGTTGAGGTGCCAGACAAATATGTTAAGAGTGGATTGAAATTTAATTTTTTTTTTCAATGAAATTATATCATACAAGATGTTCAAGTTTAAAAGATTAAATTCATGACACTTAAAACGAATATTTCAGATACTCAAGCAAATATAAAATTAGATTTTAATCGTAAGATAATAAATGATATCTTTGGAGTTTTCCTTGTCAAGGAATCGATGTCATCTTTAAAAAATATATAAAGGATGGAAGCATGATAAGAATGAGCAAATGATATATAGTTATCAATCACCTACAGAAATTCGATTACCAATCATTTTAAACAATTGAAACTTTTGGTCAGTAATACAATAAAAATATGATTGAACGTCGTCGGTTTCAAAATACTATTCTAAGTAAGCATGAATTTTTTATACCTGTCAAAGATCCATGTATTTACTGTCAAAATATGAGTTGTATATTTACTTCCATTAGACATTTCATTTGTATAGGAAATTGCACATAATCAAGCTACTGCACATAATCAGGCTGCATATCTTTCTTTCCATAGAGTCTACCATTATGCTTGTATAAATAGGTGGTTGTACATTACAAAATTAAAACAGAAAATCCAATTCTTCACTTTACATGGTATCAGAGCCTTGTGATTCTTTGTCTGTGCCATCTCCTTTTTTTTTTATCCAACATGTCTAAATATTCCAACAACCCTCTAGTCAATAATCCTCATGAAGTTTCTGCTACCCTCCCTACCATAGCTCAACTCATTGGTGATGTATCTTCTTCATATTTCTTACACTCCTCAGATCACCCAGGCTCCCTGCTTGTCTGCACCTTACTGACTGCTAAAAATTATCACACTTGGCGTCGCTCCATGAAGAAAGCCCTCAATGACAAAAATAAACTTGGCTTTGTGGACGGTTCACTCACCAAACCAACCAACTCCCCTGTCGAATCTCAACTGTGGGATAGGTGCAATGATATGATGTTCTCCTGGATCCTCAACAGCATTGACAAATCTCTCCACGACAACTTAGTTTATTATGACAGCCCCCGTGATATTTGGACAGATCTTGAAGGGCGTTTTTCTCAAAGTAACATTCCTCATCTATTCCATCTCCGACGAGATCTCTCCACTCTCCAACAAGGTGGCTTCACCATTACTGAATACTATCATCGAATCAAGTCTCTTTGGGATGAACTCGAAGCCTTATCTCCTCCTCCATCATGTTCATGTGGTGCACTAAAGGACCTTAAAGCCTCACAATCTGCTAAACGTGTTTTCTAGTTTCTAACTGGTTTACATGACTCCTTTGCTGCTCTACGGACTCAAGTCTTAGCAATGGACCCACTTCCCTCTCTAGTGAAGGTTTATTCCCTCTTTCATCAAGAAGAAACACAGCGCCTCCTTCACATCTCTGGACCGCCTCAGGAAAGTGTAGCTCTTGCTACACGTCCCTCTTTCTCACAGCAGCGTAACCTTTCCGGTTGTGGGCGCGGTCTTCCCAAATGCACTTATTGTGGTGAAGATGGCCATTGGATGACAACTTGCTTCAGTATTATCGGTTATCCCACCGGTTGGCGTCGCCCTCATCAAACCAATGCTACTCCATCCTCCAATGATGTTTTGGCTCTTTGTCTCAATCCTGAATAGGAGCAACAGTTTCAGTCAACAATACCATCTACTGGAAATTTTATTGGTAATTCCATTGCTCTCTCCACTCACTTGAATTCTATTACTCATCCTTCGATCATTGACATAGGTGCCTCTGACCATATGTGTTCCTCACTCAATGTTTTCACCACAATTCATCCTATCACTCATCCACACTCAGTCACTCTCCCCAATGGTGACTTAGTAGCTGTCACCCATGTTGGTTCAGTTTCTTTATCTTCACATATCACTCTCCATCATGTTCTTTATGTTCCCAACTTTCGTTACAATCTTTTATCTGTTTCACAACTTACTCAATCGTCACAATGCCTTGCCCTTTTTTTCCCTTCCTTTTGTATTTTTCAGGACATCAAGACGAAGAAGTCGATTGAAGCGGGTAAAGTCCGCCATGGTCTCTATTTCTTTATTCCACCATCCAGTTTAGCTTCCGTGTCCACTTCATCTGACCACTTATGGCACCAATGTCTAGGTCATCGGTCTCTTCAAACTTCTAATAAGTCCTTAAATATTTTTCATTCCGTACAATCTTGTGATGTTTGTACTCGAGGCAAATTGTCGCGTTTAAAGTTTCACTCTCCTATCAATAAAAGTATTTTTGCATTTAATCTCATATTTTGTGATATATGGGGAGGTTATCCCACTGCCATTTTATCTGGTGCACATTATTTCTTAACAATCGTCGATGACTATTCCCGCTACACTTGGACATATTTAATGAAATTAAAATCAGATACCTACACATGCTTCCATCATTTTTTTGCTTATGTCCAAATTCAATTCAATTGTATGATCGAACATGTGCGCATTGATAACGGCCAAGAATTTTTAGCCCATAATCTTCAAACATTTTTCAACAATAATGGCATTCTCCATGAACATACTTGTGTTGAAACACGTCAACAAAATGGTGTTGCCGAACGCAAGCACCGTCATTTACTCAACGTTGCCCGCTGCCTTCGCTTTCAAGCCCACCTTCTCCTCAAATTTTGGGGCAATTGCTTCCTCACTGCTACCTACTTAATCAATAGAATGTCTTCTGCTATCTTAATGCACAAAACACCCTATGAACTACTCCATCAGACGACTCACGTGTCCTAGGTTGTCTATGCTATGCATCTACCCTACATCGTGATCGCGACAAATTCTCCCCTCGTGCCCGTCGGTGTGTCTTTATTGGCTATCCTTCAAATCATCATGGTTATCTTCTCTATGACTTAGACACTGCCACTACATTTATCTTCCGTGATGTCCAATTTCACGAACACATATTTCCTTTCTCCTCCCCTACTTCAACACCCTCATCCACCATTGTCATACCTACTAATATTCTTGACATTCCTCACCCACTATCAGCTAAACCTCATTCCCATACCACCACCGAACTTGCTTCCCCGCTAGCCTCTCGTCCTCGAGATCCATTACCACCACCTCGCCCCACTCGAACTCGACATCCTCCCCCTCACCTCCATGATTACATATATCCTACCCTTCAACATATAAATGGCGTGACTTCATCTCCACCGTGGCCTTCTTCAGGTTTGTCCTACTCACTCCGTTCTTTCTTAACTATGAGCGATTTTCTCATAAACATTGCTCTTTCCTCTCCCATATCACTAACATTGCAGATCCCACCTCATACATTGAAGCCTCACGTCATGCCCATTGGTGACAAGCAATGAACTCTGAAATCATAGCCTTAGAATCTAATGGCACTTGGTCCCTCACTGCCCTTCCTCCTAGCAAACACCCTATTGGTTGTAAATGGATTTACAAAACAAAATTGAAAGCGGATGGTACTATTGAACGTTACAAAGCTCGCCTTGTGGCTAAGGGTTACACTCAAATTGAGGGATTGGACTATCATGACACCAGGGCCGGCCCTGAGAATTTAGAGGCCCTAGGCTGTTTAATTATTATGGGGCCCCTCAACACAAAATTTATTTTACAAGTCTAACAATATGTAAATATTTAAATAATTAACACTTTTATATTAGAAAGAAAACTTCATACAATTCGAAAGATAGAATAACAAAATAAAACTTCTTTCACAACCCGAAAGATTAGGCTAGCATAAGATTTAACCTTCTCACATTTTGAGATGTAAAATTAGTAATCAAACTACTAATATCAAGTTTGTCCAACATATTTTTTTCAATTGAAATCATAGTTAATCCATTCAATCGCTCTTGTGACATGGATGATCGAAAATAAGACTTAATCAACTTCAACTTTGAAAAACTTCTTTCGACAAAGGCAACTGTGACAGAAATAGTCAATAATACTCTATAAGCAATCCAAGCATTTGCATAACAACAGTTCATTTTCTTAATGTAATCCAATACATCAATTGCTCCAAAAATGCTTGCAGATATTGCTTCCCTTAAAACTTTCAACTCAGAAAATAATTTTATTCCATCAATATCAGAAATCGTATTATGCTTCAAGTAATTTTCAAGTTTAATGCAAGAATACTTCAAAACATCATCATCAATAGATTTAAGTCTTTTCAAATCAAACAAAAATCCAAAAATATCATCATATTTCTGAAATTGCTCAAATCTATTCTGAAGTAATGATAGAGCTTGATCCACTATATATATGAAATAATTGATCTTAAAAGATTTTTCAACTGTTTGTGTTATCTCTTCAAAAGAAGTCTCATCAAACTATTTTTTTCTATGTATAACCCGTTTTTCACGAAATATCGGTTCAATTTCTAATTCACTTGCAATCTCTTTAGCATCAACCATGGCCGATTCAAAATCAGATTCTCTATAACTTTTGAAAAATGAAATGAGGCCTTTTAAATGGTCTATAGTAACATCAATATGCATGTCTTCTGCTTGCAATTGTTTGCCTACTCTATTAACATTATTTAACACTTCATACCAAATAATCATTCCAAGTAAGAATTCAAAATTGTCAATTTCATATGTTGCCAAACACTCCGCCTCACTTTTTGTCTTAGGATCATCAACATTTGCTAATTGTAGTAAGTCTTTTTTTTATCTGTGGAGCTTGAAATCTTATCGCTCTAACACTTTCAATATGGCTTTCCCAACGAGTTTGTGACAAAGGCTTAAGGATAAGACCAGTTACATTCTCTTTGAAAACTTTTCATCGTTTAGTAGATGAAGAAAATAAAGTATATATACGTTCCACCACCCCAAAGAAAGATTTAGCTTTTGAACAACAAATGACCATATCACAAAGTGCAAGATTAAGACTATGACATCCAAAAGGAATGTAGAATGCTCTAGGATTTAGTTGTAATAGTCTACTTTGAACTCCTTTATGCTGTCCTTTCATGTTAGCACCATTATCATGGCCCTAACCCCTTACATTATCAATATCAAGTTCTATATTCTTCAAAGCATCCACCAATTCCTCAAAAACCCCTTACCTGATGTATCATCCACTAATAAAAACCCTAAAAAGAATTCGTCAACCTTCGCTAGACTTGTCGAAATATCTACACACCTCAATATCATTGACATTTGTTCTTCGTGACTTGTATTTGGAGTGCAATCAAGTATAACAGAAAAGTATTTAGAAATTTTGAGTTTCTCAATGATTTTTTTTATCTCGCCCGCTAGCATAAGTATCAACTCATTCTGAATTTTGTGTCCTAGATAATGATAATGAATCTCTTTACTTTTTAATCGACGAACATGCTCTTGCATTACGGGGTCGAACTCAGCAATCATTTGAATCATGCTTAAAAAGATACCATTATTTTCTTGATATGTCTTCTCATTGCCCCCACGAAATGCTAAATTATTCTCAGCAAGAGTTTTCACCACAGATATTATTCCCAATAATACTTGTCTCCAATGTTCTCTATCTTTATTGATTTGTTCTTGCACACTTTTGTCAATTGTTTAACTCTTTTCGAATCTTAATTTCATTTCTATACATTTATTCATGTTATTGATGTGGTCACAACTTACTTCATGCATTTTAAGTTTTTCACCAACATTTTTCCATTCATTTACTCCATCATGTGCCAATTGGGTTCTGATCCCATTATTCTTAAATAGCTTACAACAAAAGCAAAATACTTTATCCAAACTTTTTGAATATATCAACCATTTTCTATCATACTTCTCTCCATTAGGTAATCGTCGAATGTAATGTGTGGATGAGAAGTGTCGATTTGCTCCATCTTTCGGAAAAATCAGATCATTTTCTCTTACAGGACCTTTCATTACAATTAAATCTCTTAAATTCGTATTCATATTTCCCCAATTTGCTGGATCAACAAGGTCAAGAGAAAATGGCTCATTATCGTTGTCAGTAGATACCTCTTCATTCATCACATAATGTCATTTTTCATTTGTATTATTATTGTTGTCATTCTCATTCTCATTTAACACTTCTTCAGTAGCTATGTCATCGTTTTGTGTTCGTTTACAACTACCAAAAAACTTATCAAGTGCTCCCTCTTGAGATTTAATCAACTTTTCAATTTTTTCCTTCCTTTTTCTTTTGGCACATCCAGATTCAAATTTTCTCATAGACATAATAACAAGTAAAGAGCGATAAAATCTGATTGATGAGTCCCAAAATGAAAGGATTCAGAAATTGGTGGTAGAGGTGGTGATTGAAGTAGACAATGTGGCTATAAGATGATATGGAACATAATTAGAGAACTTTTATTCAAAAAATATGGAACATAATTAGAGCAATTTTATTCAAATTAAATCCAAAGAAAAAAGATATAAGATGGTAAGAAAATGAACTAAATAACATAATTATAGCTTCTCCATTTTTGTTAAATTCTGCTTGCAATTTATGTTTAGTAGTAAGCATAGCTTGTACACTTCGTTTTTTGCTAGATTAAAGGAAGTAACAAAATAAGTTTTAGGGACATGATAAAAGGCATACATTATCTCATATCAAAAACATATAATAGGAATTATAAAAATAGAACACATTCCCAAGTCTCATTCCCATGAAATACCTTACGGTAGCTTTTTATGAAATTATTTAAGGATTATGTAATTCTTGCATCAGTTTGTCCTCTGAATTTTCCAACATGAGCCAGCTTACTTGTCTTTTTAATAATTTCTCCTTTTTTAAGTTGATATTTTTGTATTCCTAATATTTTCATTTAGAAGCACTGACATATTATATGTTACTTGTCAACAACTTAATACTTCTAAATTTCTACTTAGAACTGGAAATTATTGTGCTAGTTTGTTATTGGGTTAATTCTTCACAGCTGATGCCAGCATTGGAATAAATTAATCACCCCGGTTTGGACTTGGAATTTGAAATTCGATGACATGATGTACTACTATATGGACATTGGGAAAATTTAAATATTTTTCAAAAGATCCTTTAGACAAATCATCAAATACTTGCTATGCAGAAAAATGCTCTCTGCTAATGTATAAATATTTTTTGCTAATAAATAAACCTAATTTCCTTCTAAACATAAGCCTCCTGTACGTAAAGCCGTAAAGGGAATTTCGGAATTGAAATTTCTTAGACGGGACACGTTGATCATACCTTTGGCTTTCCTATAAACTTTTACATTATCCCCATTTTTATCCTATACAAGCTTCAAATGCACAACAAATGCATAAATTGACTAAAATTGCACTCTGGAGAAATTGCCTAAGAAATCTATATTGTTATATTGCATATATGAACAAGCAAAACCTAAACCCATCTCGTTTTTAACCTCATTCAGTAGCAAACAAAATTTTTAACGCTAAAATCAAATCCAAACCGTCTCGTTTTTAAAATTTATCAATGTTTTTAAATGAAATACATACCTTTTGATACAAAAAGAATAGGAAATTGGTCCTTGAGACAGCCAAGTCCACGAGAAAAAAGCAAAATTACAATGTCGATGGTAGTTTTAATTTAGGGATTAATTCTACCTTACCTTGTGGTGGAGAAGAGAAGACGAAGAAGATTAAAACAGGAAAAAAAGAATTTATCGAGAAAGGCGGTTCGTTTTCTTGTGCCAAAATTTTTTTCTTCCCTTAACAGATGAGGCCCCCTACAATTTGAGGCCCAAGGCAGTGGCCTCACTTGCCTTGAGCCAGGGCCGGCACTGCATGAGACATTTGCTCCTATCGCCAAACTTGTTACAGTTCGCTGTCTTTTGTCCATCGCCGCGGCTAAAAATTGGTTCCTATACCAACTTGATGTGCACAATGCTTTTCTTCATGGGGATCTCGATGAAGAAGTCTACATGAAACCCCCTCCTGAATATTGTAAAAAGGGAGAATCTCGTGTCTGTCGACTACACAAATCCATCTATGGCCTTAAACAAGCTTCCTGCAATTGGTTTTATAAACTCTCTTCAGTTTTGCAGGCTGCTGGTTTCAATCCATCCACGGCAGACCACTCATTATTCACTCTTTCATATGGTTCATCCTTTGCCGTGCTCCTTGTCTATGTAGATGATATTCTTTTAGCCGGTGATGATGACAACTTACTCCTTGATGTCAAGACTTTTCTTACTAGAAAAGTCAAACTCAAAGATCTTGGTCCACTCAAGTATTTTTTGGGAATCGAAGCCGCTCGCTCACCTCGTGTCATTTTTATTAATCAACGTAAGTACACTCTGGACATTTTATTTGACAGTGGTTATCTCGGCTCCAAGCCACTTACCTTACCCATGGAATAGAATCACAAGCTTCAAGTTGATGTAGGCGACATTCTAACTGATGCTAGCCTTTATCTCCAATTGATCGGACGTTTACTTTATCTCACAGTCACAAGACCTGACATCACATATGCCGTCAAAATTTTGAGTCAATTTATGCACTGCCCACGACAGCCCCATCTTGATGCTGCCATTCGAGTTCTTCGCTTCCTCAAAAACAATCCAGGACAAGGACTCCTATTCCCAGCTACTAATGACTTTCAAGTCCGTGCTTATGCTGATTCAGATTAGGCTAGCTGTCCCACTACTCGTTGCTCCACCACTGGCTATTTCATATCTCTTGGTTTCGGTTCTCTCTATTGGCATGCAAAGAAATAGTCTATCATCTCTAGATCTTCTACTGAAGCTGAATACCGTGCCATGGCTAACGTCACTTGTGAACTTTTGTGGCTTCATACACTATTTCATGAGCTCCGCATCCCACATCCTCAGCCGATGCTCCTCTATTGTGACAATCAGGCAGCATTACATATTGCTTGTAATCCCGTCTTCCATGAATGCACAAAGCACATAGACATTGATTGCCATGTTGTTCGTGAGCAACTTAAGTTTGGACTCATCACCATCGCTCATGTTTCTAGCTCAGCTCAACTTGCGGACATCCTCACCAAGGCACTTGGCATTGATCTCTTCACACAGATCATTTGCAAGTTGGGCATTTACAATCCCCATGCTCCAACTTGTGGGGGCGTGTCAAAGATTCGTGTATAAATAAGTGGTTGTACATTACAAAATTAAAACAGAAAATCCAATTATTTATCTCTTTATAGTACCAATACACTCGAATGCCACCTCAAGTGAAAACAAAATGACCAGAAACATAGGGTCAAATGAAAATTAATTTATTTTACATCCATGTTTGACTCACTACAATAATATACTTATAATCAAATTAATTTATAAATAAATAAAGTTTTAACAAATATTTTTTATCGATGAAATTAAATTGGAGCAAATTATTTATTTTGATAATAGCAATAAATAAGTTTTAAACTCACAAGTATATATAAGTAATATATGAAAAGTACATAAGAAAAAATTTAATTACTTTTATGTATAGTCAAACATGGTTAAAAATAAGTCATATATTTTTACTTTATCAATAAATATTATTTTTTATATAATAAACTAATTTAAGTATAGATGTTCCTTTAAACTTAGTTAAATATATATGAAATAAAGTACTTAATTTGATAGCAAATTATTTGTGTAATATGATGTGAAAATAAATATTTAATTGTTGTAGAGTCTTATCCTAAATTCCCATTAGGATAATTGAATATTGGGCTCTGACTGGAAATGAACTTAGCTGGGTTAAAATTAAATTTTGTGTTGAACTAAGAGCCTGTTCGATTGGCCACGAATTTCATGGAAAGTGAATTCCACTTTCTATCTTTATCATTATTTGATGGCACATATTTACCATGGAATTTGTATTCGAAGTCCCCCCCCCACGTGCTAGTTTTCCTTCTTTTCTAGGAATTCCAATTCTTATAGGTTTGGTAAGAATTGGAATTACTGGCAATTTTTTTTAGCTAAGAATTGGAATTTCAAGCAGTTTTTTTATTTTTTAAGCAATGTAAACAAATTTCATGCCTGATTGTTAAAAAATATTTTCCTTTAATTGATAATTTTCGTGTAAAACAAAGTTAAACGAACACCAAAAGATATATGATTTTCTTAGCTTTTTTTTTAAATATCACCAATACCAATAAAATTATATCTCTTTATTTGACAATTTTTATGTAAAACAAAGACAAACGAAAATCAAAAAATACTTTTATTTCAACATTTTTCATGTGAAAAATTATACTAATCAAACACAATAATTTACAATTTTCTGAAAAATAATTTCTAGGCAATTTAATTTCTTAAAATTCATTTTCTTTCCACCCAAATTTTATCTTTACAATCAAATGGACCCTAAATTCTTATTCCTTTTGATTTGTGGAAATTACTCACCAAAAGTTGGAAAATGTTTGGTGGCACCCAAAGTTGGAAAATGTTTTTCATGAAAAATAAATTCTATCAAACATTACAAAAGTTGGAAAATTAACTTGATTTTTCAAGTTCCATGGAAAACTTTTGGCTATCAAACATAGCCTAAATGAATTTTGGCAACTCTATAACTACGAACTCCAACTTATCGTGGGCGGGAACCTATCCCGGCTTGAACATTAAATCAAAATGGCTATCACTCAGTTGGAACTAATGTGAATGTCGAAATGAAAATGAAATTAAAAATATGAATAAAAGTTAATTTTCATTAACATAAAAATTAAAACTTGTATATATCAATAAATAAATATTGAAGTTATATAATGTCAAAAATATTTCAAATCACGTTGTCCGATGTATTTCGAAGTTCAATTGCAAATGTAGTGAAGATCGAATGAACCGAAAGATACCATGCTATTTGCAATTCCGCTTTAAAATATAACATGCCATTGCGATCAACTCGTAACCAGTTAATTGCGAGGATTTTTTTCTTCTTCTAATACTTAATTAATTATATAAACACGACGATTACAGCATCCCTTTGAGCTTATCCTCTAAGAAAAGATTTTATAAAAGTGGTTTTTTGAAAAATATATCGTTAAAAAGTTTTTTTTTTAACTTACGTGCAAAAAT